ATACTGCGCCAAAAGTGTCCATAGAGAACTGAAACACAAGGTGAAGAGTGTGGTTTGGCTCAAGGTACACAGGGTTTCCATGCTCTGCCACACATCTTCCGGGATGTACAGTGTCTTGCATTGGATGTTGTTCACGCTGTTCGATTCCCCAGCAGTGATGGTAGAAGGGGCAACGCCAGAAGAATAAAGTGGTACTTCGGGTGGAGGTAGCTTGACTGGTGCAAAATTTACTGAGCTATAATATTCTTGCCACGAACGTGCGTCATTCGTCCACTGATCGGTTTTACTTTTAGCTATCGTGTATCTCTCGTGTACATGTTGTGCAAAGGGTGCGGTAGATATAAACGAATAGTTGGGAGTATCACCATGATCATAGAAATCCCACAACTGGACGTGTATGAGCTTCGTCAGGCTGTAGCCATCGACTGCAATGTGATGTATGACAACGAGAATCATGAGATACTCTGAAGAGGCGTGTTTGATGAAATGAACTCGAAGTGGTAGATCGCGTTCCAACTCGAACGGCCTTCCTACTACATCGAGAAAATCGTTCGAACACTTATCGTCGTCCGAATACGTCAGCCAAGTAATCGACAAATCAAGTTTGCTTTCTAGATCATCAGTGTGTTCACGATACACTAATGCAATGCCATCCTGGTGAAAGGTGGATCGTAACAAAGCATGAGACGACATCAGATGTCGGATAGCACTACGAAATTTAACAACATCAAATACGAGTGACTGCTGTTGAGACATTGTGTATTTGAGTGCCAGATGATACTTCGGATCAGTAGGTGATGTCTTGTAATTGGCAAACATTTGTTCTTGAACGGTACTCATTGGATGAACCAGTGGATCTATTTCAATTACATCAAAGTCAAAATAAATGAGTCATACGGCCTATTTAGGATTCATTTGCAATGGACATGAAGATAACATCAAAAGATACCTCGCTGAACTCGAGCTTTTTACACTTTAAAATATGACAGAAGGGAAAAAGGAAAGTGTAATCGATCTCTGCCATATCGCTCGTCCCTCATTAAGTAATACAGGCTAAATTATTGCACGAAGGTACTATCTCAAGTATAACCACAGAAAATATCAGCTTGATACTGGTCGCAAAAGTTATCTTTTTGCACCACCTCAGGACAGCGACCGATCTCAAAATGCCACAGTTTCTGCGGATCTTTCTTCTGATATTCTCATAATATTAAAGTAGCATAAATATATATGCAAGATCTTCTCGATGGCCTCTCGAAAAGTAATGACTTCTGAGACCTCACTTTTCGATCTTCATTATCAAGCATTGTAGCACGTATAAAATTATGCCTGACATGAGATTTTTGGATTTGGACACGTTCTAGCGTAGGAAATAGGAATGACGTCAGACTGCGACCAGCATCAATATCGAGCAATCTAAATGCGCTCCACTGTTTAAGTTATAATTAGGTCCACGTCTTTTCTTCACTTGCTTAAACAGTGGTCTCACAGTTTCTCCTACAATAATCATTACCTTCATTCATTTGATGTGACTGCCATGTCATTGATTGCACATCAGCTGATTTTATTATCTCAAGCAATTTGGCGTGTTCCGTGATGGTTGGATATTGGAGGAACGGCGTAATAGGAAGTGTTTGAGTATCAAAGTCAAATGACGACTTATAACGATAATAAAGTTGTGTAAGAAGAAGCGAATGACCACCAATGCTGAAGAAGTTCGCCTTGGTTGAAATTTTGTCGCCGTCACGTTGCAATACATCACACCACAAGGTATGTACGCATTCTTCTATTTCGTTATGGGGTATATCATGATCACCTTCTATTGTCAATGACAAGGAGGAAAACTCAGGCTTAGGAAGCCGCTTGCGATCAAGCTTTCCGTTTGCATTCAATGGAAACTGTTCGAGTATGATGAAAATCGATGGAATCATGTGTACTGGAAGATGAGAGCGGCAATATTCTCGTAATTGCTCCTTGCTGATATCGCGGTCACAATTTTGTATATATGCAGCCAAATGGTCATCATCACATTTAATTACAACACAAGACGATATTTGTGGTGACGATTGGAGCAAACACTGTTCAATTTCACTCAGTTCAATGCGCTGTCCCTGCAGCTTCACCTGGTGATCTCTGCGTCCCACATAGTGCAGGAGACCATTGCTGTCCAATTTTACAAGATCACCTGTTCGATAAAAGATTTGATTCTCGATCTCGATCAGTGCTTTTATCGTCAAATCTTCGCGACCGAGATAACCAGCAAATACACCTACACCGCCGACGAGCAGTTCGCCCTCTTGACCTATGATAATAGGTTGAAAGAACTCGTCGACAACACAGCATTGATAGTTGGGAAGAGATCGACCGATCGGAATGCGGATTTTATCAGACGTCGTATCCACAATATGGTAGGTGCAACAAAATGTTATCTCGGATGGCCCATACAAATTCCATATTCGACATTTCTCATCAATATGACTTCTCAATCGATTAACCAATTTGATAGAGAGAGCTTCACCTTAAACGAACAAGCAAACATGATATCACTGTCAAAATAAAATCGAATATTACTAACCACTAGTACAAAGTGATCGCAACGTTTTGACAGCGGAGACATCGTTCTTCTCGTGGAGAAATCCGAAGATACTGTTGTACAAAGCCGGTACAGTTGTTATATTGGTGATCTGTTTCTTCCTCAGTACTCCAATAAGGTACTCAATGTCCATGTTGCCTTTCGGACGGAGCAAAACCAATGTAGCACCGAAAATCAATGTACCCACGATATCTTGAATATGCATATCGAACGAGCAGTGAGCTATTTGCACGATCTTGTCCTTGTTGCTACATAAACCGATATTAATAAGAGCTTGTATGGCTGCAGTCATATTTCGATGTCGTATTAGGCCCTAACAAGAACAATATTAGCATCGTGTTGTTGGAAAGAAAGATTAAAGACTAACCGCTTTCGGCGTGCCCGTTGATCCACTAGTGAAGATGATATAGGCAATATTCTCCGGTGTCATGGTGACTTCTGAGAGTTGATCAAGGTCAGTATCATTAATCACGTCCTGGATGCTGATTATTGTATCGATATTGAGTCTAGCATAATCGTTGCTAAACATATCTTGCGTTAGCGAGTGAACAAGTACAAGACGACTTCGAGTTTCTTCGACAAGTGCATGTAAACGTTGTTTGGGATCTCGAGGCGACAAGGGACAATAGGCAGCACCCGCCATATTGATGGAAAGGATACCAATGACCTAAAGAAGGTTGGCCACAATTTCGGGTAAAATAAAGGGTTTTGAATGAACTTACCATCGAGAAGCTTCGTTCGAGGCATTGGCAAACGACTGCGCCAGGTGTAACGTAATGTTTGTTTAACAGATGCAGAGTAAGACGTTGAACATTGCAATAAAGTTCACTATATGTCAGACACTGTTCGTCGAGTTCGACGGCCACTTTTTGCGGATGTTCGCTCATTCGCTGGGCAAATTCATGGTGAAGGCAGCCCGCAGAAGGAAATGAGACTTTCGTGTTAATGAGTGACTGACTGAGGGTTGCTTCTTCTGGTAATATTAACGATAACTTGTAGATTGGCTGTCGAAGACGATCGCACATGAAAAATAGTTGCTCAAGCATGACGTGAAATCGCCGCGCGATTTTCTCGATTGCCATCGCGTCGAACAAATCGAGGGATGCGATAATTCTGCAGGAGAACTGTCCAGTGACCGGATTATGCTGGAGAGTGAGTGAAAAATCAGATTTGCTCACGATGTGGTCTCTAGCAACGTGAATTGTATTGGGCATTGCACAAATGGCTACATCGTCTAGGGTCACTTTGCTGAAACTATCTTCGATTAAGGTCGACCAAAATTGGAAGCATGTGTCGAGAAAGGCAGGTCTGGTGGTGACTCGTTGTTGAGCCAAGATACGTTGAAGAGGAAAGTAAGAATATTTCGAGATGTTCGTTGCTATCCCGCATATATGTTGGACGAGGCGACTGAAGGAATAATGAGGATCGATTTGACATCGAAATGGAATCGTATTAATAAACATTCCAATTAATGATCGCAATTCCACCCTGTAGCGCCCAGATGTGTTCATTCCGACACACAAATCGCTTTCGCCATTGGTTAACTTGAATAAGAAGGCAAAGTAGCAAGTGAGTGCAAGATGCTCCAGCAATATGTTGTTTGTAGAGGCATAGATGAGAACAGCCTGTGATAAAGCTTCCCCAAAATCGAAATATGCTGATGTGTTACGTCTCGTTAGATGTTCATCAGTGACACGGCGGTGATCGAATGGTAACTGCAGTGGCCGACTGGTATCATAGTCTTTAAGAGTCTCGAGCCAAAAGACACTGGCGGTGTTCATAGGTATTTTCTGTTCAGCGACAGCATCTGAATAGTACAGAAAAGCGGCAATGTAAAAATTATGGAAGACAAATGATGAATTTACAGTCAATATATTGTAGAGCCATGTTGTTGTCGTTTACTGATAGTTGACCAGTTGTGTAAGCTTGACTGAGACTGTGCAGAAACACTTTCATCGAGGCAAGGTCGAATACAGCATGATGAAAGTTGAAAATTAGCACGTCATCTTTGCAAAGAGCATCATCTTGAGAGATTTGTTTATGGTAAACAATATGACACCGAAAGACCAGACCCTGTGAAAGATCAAAGTGTTTGGAATTATTTTGTTCATCATCCATAATACCATTGAGTTCTTCATCCGTTTCGAATGTGCTCTCAACGAATGCGAACAATTTGCTGGTCCTATCACCGTCTTCGCTCACATCATTGACTCGCTACATCAGTAGTTCCTTTTTCGTGTCGTAAATGAGTGCTGTGCGAAGGGACTGATGTTTCATCACAACGAGTTGTATAGCTTGGCGAAGTTGTGTGACTCGCATGGTACCGTTAGTTGAGAGGCGGTACATGAAGGGCATGTTGCTAGTGATTACTAGCAGCTTTTCCATGTCGCGCCAAATACGGACTTGAGCGCAAGAGGCGGGAGCTGAATAGAAGAAAGATCAATTGAAAAATGACTGATCGACACGAAACTCCGTTCACTTTATACACTGATTCTCTACCATTGTATTTTCCATTCCATCCTATTGTAGCGCATACAAGACTAAACCTTATATCATCTATTATGTCATGTCGGTAGAAGTATTAGAAGATCTAATGTTCGAAAAAACGTTTATTCCTTTTTACGTTACTCTGAGCATCTTAGACAAACATTCGTTTGTACTCAAACCTAGTGGAAAGCTATCTTTTCCTTTTTCTGTCTGGAAACACATTAGGATACCTATACCTATAGTAGGCACACGAATTTTAGTCAAGGGGTAAGTTTTGAGTTTACGATGATGAAGTCTGCATATTCAAAAGCAAGGATAGCGACACTTGCCTTTAAATTATCTCAGAAAAAGCCATTGACCGTGAAGAATCTTGGAGGTTACTATCGTAAGACATAAGACAAAAAAGCAGACTTTTATCTCATTAACATCACCCTGGGATCACTATAAATTCTTATTATTCGAATAAAACATTGTGTATCAAGATCGAAGTCAATGGAATATGAGAAAAAAATACAGATTAATATATGATATTCCTGGCAATAGGAATTCCCAAGAAATACTGAAGGTCTGCATAAGATTCAGTATATCATTTCTTTCACATAAGTTCGTCCAAAATTCTATAGGATTTTGATAAGACAAAATTATTCAAGATCTTGTATGATCTTGAGACAGACTCTTGTCTAAACTTCATAACAACGTGTAATGGAAAATTTTTCAGTATGCCTAGGATTTTGTAGGACCCTATCTTGAGCATTCTGACAGTATCCAAGGAAATGCGAAGTAAATTTGAAAATTCTTGGCCAGAAATCAGCAGGAAAGCGGAATCTCCGTATGGAAACTTCAAAACTCTCATCAGGTTTTCGGCAACACTGTAAAGAGCAGTTTGAGACGTGTGTGATCAACGAAGATACAAACAGCTCTAGATTATCAAAAACTTGTGATGTCTTCAATCCAAATAATTACAATTTATACTTCGAAAATGTTACCTTCAAAGATTGTCTTATGAACTGGAATAATTGACGGTAAGAGATCGTCGTTACTAAATGGTGGTAGCAATGACAGTTGTTTTCTATCTACATTCCCGTTTGCATTCAGTGGAAATTTGTCCAGTACTATAAAGTAAGATGGAATCATGTACTGACGCAGACGATCTTTGCAATGATCTCGAAGTGATTCAGTATCAAGCTGCGTGCTATGCGAGATGATATAAGCAACAATTGAATCTTTATCGCCTTGGGAAAACTTGACGATGAGACAATCGGAAATTTCACTCGGTGACCAATTTACAATTGTCGTTTCAATGTCGGCTGTTTCTATACGCTGACCATTAATTTCAATTTGAAAATTTATTCGTCCAACATATAGAATTTCTCCGGTTGCATTATATCGACCTAAATCTCCTGTCTTGAAGAATTGTTTATTGTCAATTATCACTCGTGTTCTACTGGTTAGCCTAGGATTGTTGTAATAACATTGAAAAAGTCCAGGACCTATGGATATGTAGAAAAACAAAGGAGAGCTTTCGTAATCCTCTAGACATAGCGTATTACCTGCAAGATGTATTTCACCAATGTCGTCTGGACACGACGGTGGAATGATTCGTTCCTCGTCTTCATTCACGAGTAAGCATCGATAACCCGGTTGTGCATGACCGATTGGCAAGACACCTGAAAAATTAGTAAACTCATCAGTATTATTTTCGATGTAACGACCAGTGGCAGCCATTGCTTCACTCATCCCGTATGTAATAAAAATGCGTGTTTCTGACGTATATAAATTCACTTTAGCCAATTGTTGAGCGTCGAAAGGCTCTTCTCCGATCCACAAATTGCGTACTCCTCCAAGTATTTCATTGTACTTGCTGTTGTTCAACTCAAGATAGTCCATTAGCATTTGGAGCATTGATGAACCTATGTGAAGTATGGTAATTTGTTTTTCTCTGATGATTGTGCAAAGACGAGCCATATTCGAATAGTCGTCAGGTCGCAAGAGTACAAGTGTGCCTGAACAAATTCCTACCAGTGGCAAGAAAATTTCGAATAAATGAATGATCCATGACGAGACGGCCAATTGAAGAACCTTGTCGCCATACTTAGTTTCCCAGTTTATGCGAGCCTCAAGGCTTGCTAGGAGACTTGCGTGTGTATGCACAATTGTCTTTTGTTTACCGGTCGTGTTTGCAGTACAAATGATAAAACTTACACTGTCACTCTTGATATTGACCTCTACAAAATACGTAGAACATGCGAATGTTATTTGTTCAACGACAAAAACCTACCTTTCTCAAAAATATCTTCTATAATGTCCATTGATAAGATTTGTTCGAGATCAATAACTTGAATCTTTTGATAAACCATACTCGAAAATTCGTCATTCGTGCTTCTATGTACTAGAATAACTTGACCATGAGTCTCGTCAATCAACGAGCAAATGCTCATGGGAGGGTCTGTAGGATTGAGTGGGCAGTATATACACCACCTGCACACATGATACTCAATAGACCACACACCATTTCCAAACTTCGATCAACATACTGGTAGATAATCTGACCCGGTTTGATTCTAAGATGACTAATGACGCGAATCACATTCACCAGCAATTCACCATATGTCCAAAGTTGGTCATCGAGTTCGAGCACCACTTTTTGTGGAGAGGCACATGCCGCTCGCAAGAAAATGTTAAGAATATTATCGGATGAGGAAAGCATAACTAAGCTTAGTTCATAATCTACAAAAGAAAAGAAGGCTTCATAACAAGTAAATGAATATTCCATCGCTTGCTAATTTCTAATAAAATAAGCCATTCTTGTCGTCTTCCAGCTACAGAGATCCATTAAGAATATATTTGCCTAAAGTCTCGGTTGATTGCGATTATTTCTAACTGCTGGAATTATCACATTACTGCTTCGAAACCACTTGCTAAACTTCATACTTTCATTCAAAGAATTCATTTAAACGCTAGAAAATATGCACTTTCTACTCAAAAAATAAGCGCTCAACAAAATATTCTTGTTCTTGAAGAAAACAAGTTTGCCAGCACGATTCGTCCTCAAACTTTTCTTCGAAAGAAAAAATGTTTTGTTGAAAACGTAAAAAGTGCCAACTATTTTTTTGTCGATTTTCTCTATTTGAGTACTCATCTCTCCTTCGCCTCACTGATTTTATTAGTTTTCATTATATAATGATACATGTAATGCTAGATGTTTATATAAGGTATCGTCCCGATTCGTCGACAAATCGGACACTTCAAAGAATATACATCAAAGAATTTCAAAGGCGGGAGGGGCGGTGTGAGAGTGAGTGTCGACGAATCGGGACTGAATCTTTATATAACCTTGACTATCCGTTCTTGCTTTCTTTCGTTGTCTCTCTCTTTCTCTTTTTTGTAATTAATGGCTTAGACACAAATCAAAATATGGGTGCATCAAACTGAGTTTTGTCTTAATCAAGACTCATCTTCGAATCGATTAAAAAAAACATCCAGTGTTTTCGGCTATTACTTTTTAGGCTAAATGGACAGTCCTTTTAGATTTAATCGATGCATTACTTTTATTTACCTTAATTTTATTAGCGGTGATAATTAAGAACACCCGTAGTTGTACGTTCTATATTGTTACAGGATTCGATGATTAAATCGGATGTAACTCCAGCCAGGGACCATTTAATATTTAGACGAATCGCACATCGAGTTATAGTTCTAGCGAGCGAAGTATAATACCAATGAGACCTTTCATTCATTCATACACATTTGCATGAGGGTTGACGAGGATTTGTAGTCGTTGTAGATTGATTTATAGACTGACTGTACTAGTGTAGGGAAAGAGTAAGTGCTAGAAGTTCACAATAAAACTATCTTCTTCAGTCTTGTATAAGAAAACCGCACCGGGTTCATCTTTTTCATTTGGTTGTTGGTCTCATTTGCAAATCTAATTCCTAAACCTAAAGTTTAATCGGATCGGGTCGGCCGTTAAGGGCCGATCACAATTTACCGCTCCGATTCCAACTCTGACGCATGTACCGCAGATGCTATACCTTGACGTTTTCTCGAAAACTCTATTTTTCGTCTGGCCATGCAAGGTGTCATTTACACGTGCGGTAAGCGAGAGGCAACGCCTTTTCGTTTTCTTTCTTGTATACAAACAAATATGTACTAAGATAACCCTGATTTCTCTGTCGCTTTTGTTACAGGTACATCTTATAGTCATAAATATGATTAATTATTATTACGAAAACAATTTGCGGACGTATGATCGAAATGCATTAAACTTCATCAACATTGGATATGCCGCTCTTTTAAATCGATTGACCAGCATCGAGCAAAAGAGCGAACGGCCGCTTTTGTAGCATTGTACACGCTCTTTGATGGACCTCCTTTGATGGAACATACAGGTGCATTCAGAATGATCGATCCACCATCCGCAAAGATCGGTAAAGCTTTTTGAACGGTGAACAGTACTCCTTTCACATTGACGTTGAATGTATCGTCAAAATGCTTTTTGGTAATCAAATTGAGCGGTACAAGATCGCCGATGCCAGCGTTCGCGAAGAAAATATCTAGTCGACCCGTCTGCTTCTGAATCAAACTATAGAGCTTGTCCAGGCTTCAAAGCATTCAGGAATTTTCACTTTTCTTCCGACGCAAGCAACAAAAATGACTTGATATGATTGTGAACGCTGTATTTTGTTCTGGAAACTATACGCAACAGAGCACAAAAGTGGACACTCATATCGGAGTGGTGTTCAGTTCCACACTTCTGTGAATTCCGGAATCCAAGCAGGACTTATTGTAAACCGTCTATCACATGCAGAAATTCTGTGCGATGAGACAGGTTCTGCTCAATTCTGTTGTGATTCTGATAGATTATGCGGCAACTCCACTATAATTCGAGCCTACTTCACTGAGCATCATGTATCATACAGAAAACGAAAGCATGTTACTGGAAAGGCAAGAAGGTTCTGAGAACCTATAAACATTGCCACCTTGTTTTAAAACGATTAAAGCTCAAGATAGCTCTTGAGCCTCGTCTTAAATGACTTTATTGTGAGTGATATAACAACGGCTTCGTGAAGGGTTAGATTCCAGTCTCTGGTTGTTTGGTAGACGAATGATATAAGAACGGTTTCTGTTCCTGCAACGGGAATTTCTACTGTTCTCGAATGATTAAGACGGCTTGATCTTCTAGATTGGTCGCATTGGATAACGTTTAGTCTAGATAAAGGAGAGAGGCCGTTAAGGATTTTAAAAAAATGAATAAAGCGAAAGTATTTTCGTCTTTCTTGGAGCAGAGGCAGATTCAACCTTCTAACTAAATTCGAACCGAGAGTAGAGTATTATAGTCAGAAATATGGTTATATAAGTGAAGGACACTTGAATATGATTATCCATCTAATCCTGATATTGTAAGTTAAATAGCCAGTTAAAAGTCTTTCGTATGTCCATGTGTAGATACAATCAGCACATGGTCTGATATGTAACCTATTCTTTATAGAAAAAATGAACTATGAATCTGTTCAACAACGATTGAAGACAGTTTATATTTGAAGAACTTCAATAAGTTCAGTATTTTGTAACGTTTAGTAGTAATATATTTTATGTGAGCTTGCAAACCTAATTCCTAAACCTAAAGTTTAATCGGATCGGGTCGGCCGTTAAGGGCCGATACCAATTTACCGCTCCGATTCCAACTCTCACGAATGTACCGCACATGTTATAACGTAACGTTTTCTCGAAAACTCTATTTTTAGTCTGGCCATGCAAGGTGTCATTTACACGTGCGGTGAGCGAGAGGCAACGCCTTTTCGTTTTCCTTCTAGTATACGGACAGATATGTACTAAGATAACCCTGATTTTTCTGTCGCTTTTGTTACAGGTACATCTTATAGTGATAAATATGATTATATAGGAGAAGGACACTTGAATATGATTATCCGTCAGGGTTATCTTCGTACATATCTCTCCGTATACAAGAAAGAAAAGGAAAAGGCATGCTGCCGCGTGCTTACCGCACGTGTAAATGACACCTTGCATGGCCAGACTAAAAATAGAGTTTTCGAGAAAACGTTACGTTATAACATGTGTGACCCGATCCCATTAAACTTTAGGTTTAGGAATTAGGTTTGCAAGCTCACATAAAATATATTACTACTAAACGTTACAAAGTAGTGAACTTATTGAAGTTCTTCAAATATAAACTGTCTTCAGTCGTTGTTGAACAGATTTATAGTTCATTTTTTCTATAAAGAATAGGTTACATATCAGACCAATGGGCTGATTGTATCTACACATGGACATATGAAAGACTTTTAACTGGCTATTTAACTTACAATGTCAGGCTTAGATGGATAATCATATTCAAGTGTCCTTCACTTATATAACCATATTTCTGACCCTAATACTCTACTCTCGGTCGGAAGAAAACTGAAAATTCCTGCATGGTTTCAGGGTTATTTTTGCCATATTTCTCTTTAGCAGCCGAAGATATTTTCTTATATCGATATGATTACAGTATTTGTCATATAACATGAATAACTGTATTCCTTCCTAGTGTTATTTGAGTCCCCACGTAACACTAGTGTATTTGAGTTCCATAACACTAGGAAGAAATACAGTTATTCATGTTATATGACAAATACTGTAATCATATCGATATAAGAAAAAAATATCTTCGAGTGCTAAAGAGAAATATGGCAAAAATAACCCTGAAAGCATTAAGGAATTTTCAGTTT